ACCACAACCTCCACCTCCCGGGTTCAAGTGATTCTCCTGCCTCAACCTCCCGAGTAGCTGGGATTACAGGCACCCGCCACCATGCCCGGCTAATTTCTGTATTTTCAGTAGAGACAGGGTTTCACCCTCTTGCCAGGCTGGTCTTGAACTCCCGACCTCGTGATCCACCTACCTCAACCTCCCAAAGGGTTGGGATAAGATGCATGAGCCCCCGCACCTGCCTCTGGCTATGTTTTTCTGTCTGGGGCATTGACTCGACATGAAAATTAACTATTTGACAGGAGTCTCCCACAGCTTAATCTCTGAAGGTCAAGATGTGATTCTGTGGAGCATGTCGCAAAAGCCCTATCTGAGGTACCCAGTATTGGAACATTCCGGATGAAAATACAATCATGTGTCTTGGTTTTCTTTGCTTTTCTCTTTTTTCTTTTTTTTCTTCCTTCCTTCCTTTCCTTCCTTTCTTTCCCTTCCCTCCCCTCCCCTCCCCTCCTCTTCTCTCTCTCTCTCTCTTTCTTTCATCTTTTGACAGTTTTGCTCTTGTCGCCCAGCCTGCAGTGCAACGGCACAATCTTGCTCACTGCAACCTCCAGCTCCCAGGTTCAAGCAATTCTCCTGCCTCAGCCTCCTGAGTACCTGGCATTACAGGCATCCACTACCACGCCCAGCTAATTTTTTGTATTTTAAGTAGAGACAGGGTTTTGCTCTGTTGGCCAGGCTGGTCTCGAACACCTGAACTCAGTTGATCTGCTGCCTTGGCCTCCCAAAGTGCTGGGATTACAGGTGTGAGCCACCACGCCTGGCCATGTGTTGCTTAATGATGGGGATACATTCTGGGAAATGTGTGATCAGGGGATTTCATCGCTGTGCAAAAATTGTAGTGCACACTCACACAAACCTAGGTGGTACAGCCTACCACACACCTAGGCTATATGGTACTGCCTGTTGCCCTTAGACTACAAACCGAATTCCAGTGTAAACCAGAAACAAAATTCTAAGCCCCCAGCCATCTGAATGGGCCCCTCCTCTTGGTCAATGGCATTCCAAAGTTAAGCTGAAACACTAGTTCAGGGGCCGGGGGTGGTAGCGCACACCTGTAATCCCAGCACTTTGGGAGGCCGAGGCAGGTGGATCCTGAGGTCAGGAGTTCAAGACCAACCTGGCCAACAGGGTGAAACCTCGTGTCTACTAAAAATACAAAAAAATTACTGGGTGTGGTGGTGTGCACCTGTAATCTCAGCTACTCGGGAGGCTGAGGCAGGAGAATCACCTGAACCCAGGAGCAGAAGTTGCAGTGAGCCGAGATGGTGCCACTGCACTCCAGCCTGGGTGACAGAGCGAGACTCTGTCTCAAACCAACCAACCAACCAACAAAAAAAGAAACAACTAGTTCAGGCCATGATGGAAGTGTGGGTCACACCTGTCTCCTAATACCCTCCTCCTCTGTGGAATTCAGGAAAAGGCGAGCTGCATCCACATCAACATAGACCTTAACTGTGGTAAGAAACGTTGATATAATGTCAGTCCACGAGTCTAACGGCTGAAGAATTGGGGTCCAGTGTTTGAGGGCAGGGAGGACCCAGCGTGGGAGAAAGACAGAGGCCAGAAGACTCGGCCAGTGTAGTCCTTCCACGTTCCTCTGCCTGCTTTTGTGTTTCGTTTTGTTTTGTTTTGAGACGGAGTCTCGCTCTGTTGCCCAGGCTGCAGTGCAGTGGTGCGATCTGGGTTTACTGCAACCTCTGCCTCCCGGGTTAAAGCGATTCTCCACTTGGCCACGGTAGCAGTGAGGGTGGAGACAGATTCGCTGAGAGAAAATTCGATGCCTCAAAGGAGACTATGCCGCCCTCTTCTGATTTCTCAGCCTCCCGAGTAGCTGGGATGACAGGCGCGCACCATCACACCTGGCTACCTTTTGTATTTTTACTAGAGACGGGGTTTCACCATGTTGCTCAGGCTGGTCTCAAACTCCCGACCTCAGGTGATCCGCCTGCCTCGGCCTCCTAAAGTGCTGGGATGACAGGCGTGAGCCACCGCGCTCGGCCCTCTGCCTGCTTCTATCCTAGCTGTGCTGGCAGCTGATCAAATGGTGCCTGTCCAGATTGAGGGTAGGTCTGCCTGTCCCAGTCCAGTGACTCAAGTGTTCATCTCCTTTGTCAACAACCTCACAGAAACACCTACGATCAATACTTGGCATGCTTCAATTCTGTGAAGTTGACACTCAATAGTAACCATCACAGTAAGGAAACAGCAAAACGGAATACAGACCCCAAGGGCTGGGCGCGGTGGCTCACGCCTGTCATCCCAGGACTTTCGGAGGCCAAAGGTGGGTGGATCACCTGAGGTCAGGAGTTTGAGACCAGCCTGGCCAACATGGGGAAACCACCTCTCTACTAAAAATGCAAAAATTAGCCAGGCGTGGTGGTGGGTGCCTGTCATCTCAGCTACTCGGGAGACTGAGGCAGAAGAATCGCTTGAACCCGGGAGGTGGAGCTTGTAGTGAGCCCAGATCACGCCACTGCACTCCAGCCTGGGAGACACGGTGAGACTCCTAAAAAAAAAAAAAAAAGAAGAGAATACAGACCCCATTAAGATTGTTGCTGCACTCTGTCAGCCACCTCCTCCCAAATACTCCAGAGCTGAAAGTGCAGACAACAAAATGATGGGGTGTGGGAGTGGCAGAAGCCAGGTCCTTTCTTGTGGGGAAGGAGGGTGTTGACGTTGGTTATCGTGATGGGGGAAGTTTGTTTGGCAGTAAATTAAAGGGAACCAGTGGAAAGGGAAGTAGACGAAAGAACAATCAGGAAGAGAAACTGAACCAATGGAACAAAAACATCGGCCAGGCACGGAGGCTCGCGCCTGTAATCCCAGCAGTTTGGGAGGCCGAGGTGGGTGGATCACCTGAGGTCGGGAGATCAAGACCAGCCTGACCAACATTATAAAACCCCGTCTCTACTAAAAATACAAAAAATAGCCGGGCATGGTGGCTCACGCACCTGTAATCCCAGCTACTCAGGAGGCTGAAGCAGAAGAATCCCTTGAACCCAGGAGGTGGAGGTTGCAGTGAGCCGAGATCTCGCCACCACACTCCAGCCTGGCAACAGAGCGAGACTCTATCTCAAAAAAAAAAAAAAAATCTGAAAAAGCAGGTCAGATTGTATCAATGTCCATATCTGGTTGAGCGATTTACTGCAGTTCTGCAAGATGTTCTAATTGGAGGAAGCTTGGTAAAGGGTACATGGGATTTCTCTGTGCTACCTCCTACAAGTGCATGTACGTTTAGAACTCTTTGCATACAATTTCTGTGTTAGTTCGGACTGCTGGGATAAAATACCATAGACTTGGTAGCTTAAGCCATTAAACATTCCTGTTGCCCAATTACGGAGGCTGGTGAGAGCTCTCTTCTTGGCCACCTTTTTCTTTTTTTTTTCACTTTTTAAAAATTATACTGTAAGTTCTGGGATACATGTGCAGAACGTGCAGGTTTGTTACACAGGTATACACGTGCCATGGTGGTTTGCTGCACCCATCAACCCGTCATCTACATTAGGTATTTGTCCTAATGCTCTCCCTCCCCTAGGCCCCTACCCCCCAACAGGCCCTGGTGTGTGATGTTCCCCTCCCTGTGTCCATGTGTTCTCATTGTTCAACTCCCACTTATGAGTGAGAACATGCGGTGTTTGGTTTTCTGTCTTGTGTTAGTTGGCTGAGAATGATCGTTTCCAACTTCACCCATGTCCCTGTAAAGGACACGAACTCGTCCTTTTTTATTGTTGCGTAGCATTCCATGGTGTCTATGTGCCACATTTTCTTTATCCAGTCTGTCACTGATGGGCATTTGGGTTGGTTCCAAGTCTTTGCTATTGTGAACAATTGGCCACCTTTTTCTTGTGTGCTCATATGGCAGTGGGAGAGTGACCTCGCTCTGAGTTCATCATCCTTTCATAAGGGCAGGAATCCCATGCTTGAGGCTCCACCCCTCACGAGGCTCCATCCCATGACATCATCACCTCCCAAAGACCCCGCCTCCTAACACCATCCCCTTGGGGGTGACAATTTCTACAAAGGAATTTGGAAGCAATGTTCAATTGATAGCAGTAGTCAATTAAAAATAAGAGATGATGAATATTTAATTGTCAGTGGATCTGTGAACTATGTGATGGTAAATATCAGATAAAAGATTGTTAAGGATAGAATATTAAAGAACCAAAGCTAAATCTTTTTTTTTTTTTTTTTTTTTGAGACAGAGTTTTGCTCTTGCCACCCAGGCTGGAGTGCAGCGGTGCCCACCGCAACCTCTGCCTCCCAGGTTCAAGTGATTCTCCTGCCTCAGCCTCCCAAGTAGCTGGAATGCTAAATCTTTTACAATAATACTAATAAAATTACAAACTAATAAAAGAAGCCTTACACCAAGAAGACAGTATAATCATGAACCTGTAGGTATCTAGTATTCCAGCCCTGAAATATCTAAAGCAGTGACAGAGATGTCCAAAACCCTCTCTAAAAAAGACAGGATAAATACATAATATTTCAGAATGTGATTAAAATTTCAATTTATAGAAACATAAGTCTATAAAACCTGGTATGCTAGGACTAGAGGATGCATTTTCTTAAATCAACTGTGTGCAAAGTCACAGTGAAAGCCCTCTTCTGAAGTTACCATATGACGAAATCAGAAACATCACGAGGTCAGGAGTTCGAGACCAGTCTGACCAATATGTGAAACCCCATCTCTACTAAAAATACAAAAATTAGCCGGGCATGATGGCGCATGCCTGTAATCCAGCTACTCAGGAGGCTGAGGCAGGGGAATCGTTTGAACACAGGAGATGGAGGTTGCAGTGAGCTGAGATCGTGCCACTGCACTCTAGCCTTAGGGACAGAGCAAGACTCTGCCTCAAAAAAAAAAAAAAAAAAAAAAAGCAAAAAAAAAAAAATCACTCATTTGAATTCTACACCTTTGGAAAAATATTAAAATACCCTCTTCATCCATTGGTCAGATCAGGAAAATGAAAACAACGGCTTTATTCTAAGTCTATGAAATGCAGCCTAAGGGGTCAGGACAAAAATGAGTTCACAATAAATCTGTTATGATTAGAAGGAAGAAAACAAACAAATAAACAAAAGATGGCATGTGTCAAGGCAAAAGACATCAGACAACATATTCCAGAATGAAGGCAAATAATTATAAGGGGGTAAAAGAGAAATCACTAAAAATGATAAGTAAGCGATGAACACAATAATTAGTGAAATGTCTATTTCTGAACCCCAGACAGTGCTTCCCAAAGACCGCTTCAGAGGCCAGAATTCCAAAGCTTTTTTCTACGTACAGATCTTCTCCCCATGCCTGGATTAAGGGCCCCCAAACTGCAGAAAACATAACCCCTCAACTGAGTTTGCTGCTTCAGTGACAAATGACACCAGAGCCACCACCAAGCCATGGCTGGCATTTGTTCAGTTCTGAGCATTGTGTGACAGAATGCATCAGTCTTGCTTTGCTCTCAGCAAAACTGGGTGCAGAGGGAGGGCTGTTCGCCTGGTCGTTGCAGAGATGAGGAGTCGGAAAGATAGAGACGCAATGGCTTAACTATGGCACCAGATGCAAGACTTGATACCTCCCCAGTTCCAGCCCAAATGGAGAAATGGGTAAGATGCACCTTCTATGATCTGGGGATCAGTGCAGACATCTGCGGTCCAGCCCTGCAACCTGTCCTGCCTTTGAAAACGTGGCGTGTCCCTTCGATGACAGTTTCTCCTAACAGCCAACATGAAAGATACCACATGGTCATGATAAAGACATTTTTTAAATCACGGTGGCGTCCAGACACACACCAGCCTTTGCTGACTGCACACGTTCCTGCTAAAAGTCCCACACCAGCCTTTGCTGACTGCACGCGTTCCTACTAAAAGTTCCTGTGACTACATGAGACAGCACTGCCAGTTTCCAGGCCGTTAGGACCTGCTATCTTTGGGGACGTCCTCTGCTGACCACAGCCTCCAGCTCCTTTAGGACACAAGCTCTGCTTTATGCGACTTTGAGTCCCAGTATTTAGGCAAAACACTTAATACTTACTTACTGAAAACATGACTACATGGATGGATGGATGGATGGACGGATGGATGAACGAGATGGCCCCATCCGTTGCTGGACCTGAATGAAACCTATTCATGCTACTGGAAGGGCATAAAAGAGCAGCTTCACTGGGAAATCCACGCACCCTACGTCCAACTATTGAATCAAGGTTTGCCAAAGAAAAGAAACTCATTCCTCCTGGTTTGTACAGAGCCCTAATGGCACACATGACATCTGCTTCAAGCTCAAACCCAGGATCCCAAGAGCTCTGGCCACACGGTGGACTCAGCTCTACTCACCCAGCAATCCACGCAGTTTCTCCGCCTGCTGGGAGGTGTCTCCAGGCTGCAGGAAATTGCACAATCAGGTATCAAGGAGCACAGGCGAACTTCAGAATCACGCTCTTGGTTTCCCTCGGAGGAATGGTCACATAAGGGTTACCATGAAACAGAGGAAGGGTGAGGCTGGAGTTGTACAAGATTCAAATTGATCTCAGAGCTCATCTGCTCAGCCTGGGGACAGCGGTGTCTGTCGTTTTCCAGAGTGCTTGTTCAATCAGCCACACAAAAATTGTCAGCTTTAGGAGATAGGAGACATCCTATCACTCCATCCAGAGCCTGTATTTGGAACTACCTTTATGAGGATAATTAATAGCAGCTGTGGCTGGGCGTAGTGGCTCACGCCTGTAATCCCAGCACTTTGAGAGGCAGAGACGGGTGATCACTTGAGGCCAGGAGTTCGAGACCAGCCTGGCTAACATGGTGAAACTCGGTCTCTACTAAAAATATGAAAAAAGAAAAAAAAATTATCTGGGCGTGGGGGTGGGCTCCTGTAATCCCAGCTACTGGGGAGGTTCAGGCGACATAATCACTTGAACCCTGGAGGCGAAGGTTGCAGTGAGCCGAGATCGTGCCACTGCACTCCAGCCTGGGAGAAACAGTGAGAATCCGTCTAAAAAAAAGAAAAAAAAAAGAGCAGCTGGCACTTCTTGCAAGGGCTTCAAGCTGCCAAAGGCTCTTGGGTGATGTGCACATGTACAGAGGTAGACATATTGTTAGAACTGAAGATTCGCTGCATCGTCCTGGCTGTTTGGAAACACTTTTCAGACGACGACATGGCGGGATCCTGGTTTCATGGGGAAGTCATTCCCATTCAGCAACACATCCGTCTGGGCTCCACGGCTTAGCAGAACCTCTGGGGAGTGCAAGGTGTCTGCAATGCTCCTGTACGGAAGATGCCAGAGGCGCTGGTGCTGAGGGCTGGAAACGGCAGCTGACATTTGCCTGGCTCAGGGAATCTCAAACTTGGCTGAACAACAACAACAAAACATGACTTGGGGCCGGGTGCAGTGGCTCATGCCTGTCATCCCAGCACTTTGGGAAGCCAAGGCAGGTGGATTGCTTTGAGCTCAGGAGTTCAAGACCAGCCTGGGCAACATGGTGAAATTGTGTCTCTATAAAAAAAATACAGATAGTCAGCCGTGGTGGTGCACACCTCTGGTGCCAGCTACTTGGGAGGCTGAGGCGGGAGAGCTGCTTGAGCCTAGGCGGTCAACGCTGCAGTGAGCAGAAATTGCATCACTGCACTCCATCCTGGGTAACAGAGTGAGACCCTGTTGAAAGGGTCTTGGCCGGGCGCAGTGGCTCAAGCCTGTAATCCCAGCACTTTGGGAGGCCAAGACAGGTGGATCACAGGTCGGGAGATGGAGACCATCCTGGCTAACACGGTGAAACCCCGTCTCTACTAAAAAATACAAAATATTAGCTGGGCGAGGTGGCGGCGCCTGTAGTCCCAGCTACTCGGGAGGCTGAGGTAGGAGAATGGTGTGAACCCGGGAGGCGGAGCTTGCAGTGAGCGGAGATCCGGCCACTGCACTCCAGCCTGGGTGACAGAGCAAGACTCCGTCTCAAAAAAAAAAAAAAAGGGTCTCACTGTCGAAAGAGAAAAAAAGAAGAAAGAAAAAAAGGAAAGAAAGAAAGAGAAAGAAAAAAAAAGAAAGAAGGAAGGAAGGAAGGAAGAAAGGAAGGAAGGAAAGAGAGAGAGAGAGAGAGAGAGAAAGAAAGAAAGAAAGAAAGAAAGAAAGAAAGAAAGAAAGAAAGAAAGAAAGAAAGAAAGAGAAAAAAGAAAGAAGGAAGGAAGGAGAAAAAAGAAAAGAGAGAGAAAGAGAGGGAGGGAGGGATAAAGGCAGGAGAGAAGGAAGGGAGGGAGGGAGAGATAAAGGAAGGAAAGAAGGAAGGGAAGGACAGGAAGGAAGGGAAGGACAGGAAGGAAGGGAAGAAGGAAAGAAGGAAGGAAGGGAGAGAAAGGGAGAAAGAGAAGAAATGACGAGGAAGGAAAAGAGAGAGAATGAAATAAGGAAGAAGAGAAAGGAAGAAAGCAAAAGAAAAAGAGAAAGAAGAAAGAGGGAAAGAGAAAGAAAGAAGGAGAAAGAGAGAGAGAGAGAAAGAAAAGAAAGCAAAAAACTTGAGGAATTCGAAATAAATGCTGATGCCCAGAAGAATTAACTGCAGAAGTTTCTTGGGGATGGGGCCGACCATGAGTCATTTTCAGAGGTTGGTCCAGTGAGCATCAAATGCCCACTAGCTTTCCTGGATATTTGGGGAGACCGTCACAGAGAGTGAGAGGCCTGAGCTCACCGATGGTCAATGAGCTCACAAGGCTCACTGGGGATTGGGGATGTCCCGTTTCAGAGCTGCTCCCTGTCCTTGAAGAGGGGAAGAGGCATGAACCGAGATGGCTATACCAATTGCAAGCCCAGTGCAAAACGAGAAGACGCACTCCTTGTTCCAACGTAATGAACAATTTCCAGGTGGCGGCAGCAAAGAGTTAAACCAGTATGGCGCCCTTCTGTGCGTGGCCACCCCGTGTGAGTTCCACAGAGTGCAGACTCATGAAACTTGGCGTGTAGATAACAGAAGCTATCCACCTCCGTGGTTTTCCGGGTCTCTAGAAATGGAAAGAATATTTTCCGCACTCTCATAGCATCTGGTTCCTGTGGCCAATAGTAGATTGAATAGTGTCTCCCGGAAAGATAGGAGCAAAGCCTAATCCCTGGTATCCGTGAATGGGATCTGATTCACAGAAAGGGTCTTGGCAGGTGTCATTGAGTAAAGGGTCTTGAAATGAGATCATCTGGATTATCCAGGTGGGCCGGAAATCCAGTATCAAGTGTCCTTATTAGAAACAGGTAGAGACACAGATACAGGGAGGCCACGTGGAGATGGAGGCAGAGACTGCCGTGATGCGGCCACAAGCCCAAGGGATGCCTGGAGCCCCCAGGAGCTGGGAGAGGCAGGAAGGATCCTCTGATGGAACCGGACACAACTGTAGTAGACTGAACTATGGTCTCCCAAAAAGATCTGTCTATATCCTAATATCCAGAGGCTAGGAATGAGAACTTACTTGGAAATAAGAATCTTTGAAGATGCAATGAATTAAAGATCTTGAGATGAGATCATACTGGAATAAGGTAGGCCCTAAATCCAATGACAGGTGTCCTTCTAAGAGACAGAAGAAGACACACAGACACAGAGGAGGAGGCCACCTGGAGACAGAGGCAGAGACTGCAGTGATGCGGCCACAAGCCCAAGGGATGCCTGGAGCCCCCAGGAGCTGGGAGAGGCAGGAGGATCCTCTGATGGAACCGGACACAACTGTAGTAGACTCAACTGTGGTCTCCCAAAAAGATCTGTCTATATCCTAATACCCAGAGCCTGGGAATGAGATCTTATTTGGAAATAAGGATCTTTGAAGATGCAATGAGTTAAAGATCTTGAGATGAAATCATTCTGGAGTAGGGTGGGCCCTAAATCCAATGACAGGTGTCCTTCTAAGAGACAGAAGACACACAGACACAGAGGAGAAGGCCACATGGAGACAGAGGCAGAGACTGCAGTGATGCGGCCACAAGCCCAGGGACGCCTGGAGCCCCCAGAAGCTGGGAAAGGCAGGAAGGATCCTCTCCTAGAGCCTTTGGATGGAACTGGACACAATTGTAGTGGACTGAACTGTGGTCTCCCAAAAAGATCTGTCTATATCATAATACCCAGAGCCTGGGAATGAGACTTTATTTGGAAATGAGGATTTTTTTTTTTTTTTTTGAGATGGAGTTTTGCTCGTTACCCAGGCTGGGTTGCAATGGCATGATCTCGGCTCACCGCAATCTCCACCTCCTGGATTCAAGCAATTCTCCTGTGTCAGCCTCCTGAGTAGCTGGAATTATAGGCTTGTGACACTGAAGTGATGCAACCACATGCCAAAGGGATGCCTGGAGCCCCCAGCAGCTAAGAGAGGCAGGAATTGATCCTTGCCTAGAGCCTCCAGATGAAGCAGAGCCCTGAGACACCTTGATCTTAATCTTCTGGTCCCAGAGCTGGAAGAGAAGAAATAGTTCCGTTTGTCTTGAGGCCCCCCGCTATGGTCGCTTGTTACAGCAGGCCTGGAAAACTGATCAATGGCATAACCTGCAATGAGATGTTTGAACACACAGCCATCTCATGGGACCATCTACATCATCTTCACACAGAGACCTGAGCCCCACGGGGAGCTTGGCAGATGTGATGCCAGGGCCTCTACAGATCCAGATGTGGGGGTTCAGTCAGGCTGGTGGGAAAAATTTTAGTTATAATAGCCACAGACCCTCTGGGAAGGCCTGCGAGTTTGCATAACTTCGGTAACAAACCTGGCTGAAGGCAGCCTAGTCCCCTTACCTTTAGTTTAATAAATTAGAGTAGAAACAAAGGAATGTGGGGAGTTTAACTTGTTTACTCATGTGGTCCTAAGACTAACCTTTGATCTATTGCAGGAGCTTAACTGCTTTCTACTTAGGGAAGTCCGCAATGTCAATTTCCCTCTAGCGGTGTTAACTTACGACCTTTGTCAATCAATCTTGACTGAATAAATGCAAGTCTCGCAGACTGATCCAGGCCAAGGCTGCTACTAAGTGGCTCGGACACTCAGCCAAACTGGCAAAGCAGAATAGCCGTGTGTCAGTGTACTTCATTCATCCGTGGCTGGCTCAGGGTCTGCGGGACACACCCCCGCACCATAAATCTTGTTGCAGTTCTCACCGTGTGGGCTTCAGGTCTCCCTGCAGCACCATGAGTCCAGCTACGCTAGGGAGGTCAACATCATGCATGTATCCTGCAAGTTTCATTGTCCTTGTAACCTCTGGCAGGCTGTCCTTCCTGGAGGCTGTTTCCTGGCCTGTTAGTCTGGTTGTATCATTCACGGTTTTCCTATGAAGGGTCTTAAGATCTAAGCGGACATCCTGCACAGAGACCGCGTCTGTCTGCAGAAGGGGCTTGAGCTCATTCTCTCTGCATCGAGAGTCCTGTGCGTTGAGGTCTGAGCTCTGCCCGAAACAGAAACGTACCAACTGTTAGGGTCACCCCGACCGGACGTTCCCTTCCCCTCCCACAGGCCTTACAATCCAGTCCCTTGCACTCTCCGCACACCTCCCCCAGGGCTACAGACAAACGCCCCCCTTCACTGACCCTTCCAGTAACTGTTTGTCCAGACAGTTACAGGATGTGGTTAACATGTCTGTTAACGTCACGTAAGTTAGCTGGCAAAAAACATCTCCAGGATGCGGTCAAGACACCTGCAACCCCTACTCAGCTTCCCGACCCCAGCCCAGTCCTCCTGCAGCCTCGGCTCAGCTCCCCCACCCCGACCTGGTTCCGGCCCTATAAAACCCTGCTGTAGTCTGTAAGGGGGGCTGCCTCCTCTAACCGTGGTGGACCAACCAAGCAGCTCA